GTGAGCAGTGCATACGGCTGTTTAGACTACGTACGCACACAAATAAAAATGCATAGTTTTGTTCTAGGCAACTTACAGTAAATTTACACTAAAGATTTGCAGCTAAGCTTAGCTCGACCCCGTCTTGACAATAGTAAAGTTTTAAGCAAACTTTTGACAGATAAGCTGGAAAGCGATCCCCACCAGGGCAATGCCCCTGGCTGAAGTAAAGTTGTCTTTAGGCCATTCCCAAAACAGCACAAAGTGAGCTTCGACAATCGTGAAGGCACCCTGGAAATAGTAGGTCACAAGAGAGTGACAAATATACAAAAGAAGTAGAGGAAAAATGACGATAGTAAGGATGAAGGAAGGAAAAGCAGCAGTTCCCCCTATGTTGCTCTGGCGCAGTGTGAGCATGACTTTGATAAATCAGCCCAATTACTTTTCCACTGTGCACAAGAACATGTTAATATCTCCCCCACCCCCCTTGGGAATGGCCTAAAGACAAATTCAGTAAGTAGCACTGCCCTGGAGGGGTGGGGGTGAAATTAAAAAAAAACAAATTTATTATATTGCTACCACCAGGAACTCCAGCGATAAAAGATTCATCATAAATGTAACAATGCCAAGGCGTACTCTCCACGATTTAAGCTGATCTTTAAGACTATTTTGCAAACTGTGAAGAGAATGAACGTTGCTTCATATGAATGTGGGATTTTCTAGTGCTTGTGCCCCTATGGTGGTTTGTGGTGGATTTTTAAAATGACGGAACTTCACTGCGACATTAAAGATGATTCCAGTAGGGAACAGGATAGAGGGTGCCCACGTTCCTCGTGACTCATTGAAGCTGAGGAAGATAGGACTAACGCTAACATTACTTAAACGCAATCCCACATCATCACTCATCACCACCATTTAAAAAAAACCCATCACTGCTCTCAGATCAATGACCTACATCCATAATCCCTGAATCTCTATCTGTAACAGTTACTTGTCATACTAAGAATGCTCGTAATACACTATTGGACACTATCGTACGCACTTCTTTTCTAATCAGATGACGCCAGTCTCATATATATATGGCAGTGGGTGGTTGGCGGGTGCTCAGGTGTGGTTTGCTTCTTCTTTGCTATCAAACATCTATTAGCGCTCATATGAACTTATGCAGTTGCGAGCGCCGTAAAACCCTCTACTATATAATAAACATCTATCGTCTTTCTCTCCCCTCCTTCTTTTTTGTGTTTGTTACACTCTTGTAACACGTCTAATCTTCGGCACTTATATGACCTTATTGTGTTGCAAGTGCAGGTAAAACACTTACTAAAACTAATATAAATGGGCAAGGGCTTAAAAAAAAAAGGATTTTTAAAATGAATAGGCGGTCTGTAGACTGATGCTTTTACACCCCCACCGGCATATTTAGATCCTGAAGGAGACGGGTTTGACTCCTGCCTACCAGTCAGGGATATACAAAGTTTCAAGAATGTAAATAAATAGCCTAATGCATAAACATTTGAGGAGGTCAGAAAAATAAATTGTCTTATCGACACCTTGATGTCGTTTCGAAAGAAAAAAAAACACAGTTTAATTTAAAAAAAAAAAAACACACACAAAAAAACACAAAACAACAACAACAACCAACAACAACAACAACAACAACAAAAAACCACCCAAACAAACAGACCGATAAACAAAAAGACAGGCACACAGTCATAAATTGTTACAGAACAGAACAGCATGAATAAACGATACTGAGAGAACAAAATAGATACTGAGATACACATTGTCTATCTGTTGTGCGCTGCACATTATTATGTTCTTTGTATTACTGTATGGCGCACTGAGCACTTCTTTGTGGGAATACGCTATACAAATGCAATGTATTATTATTATTATTATTATTATTATTATTAT